GGTGCTTCCCTTGTGTTCCGCGAATTTATGTTCACCTCTAGCAGGAGAAATTATAAATAAGTTTCTTCGAGTTAAAAGGCAAATCCTACCCATCTCTTTGTCACTATAAAGGGGAAAGCACCAGAGAGGAAAGAGACTGGCGTACTGCGCCCAACAACACTAAACAGGAATTCTCAGGGCGTCTAGGCCACTGCCTTCTTGCTCGGGTGCCTCAAAAGGTGGCCCTCTGGCACTCATGCACTTGCCTACGCGGCCCGGGAACGCTATCCTAACTTGGGAAGAAACTGGAACCGATCTATAAACAAACACCTTGCTCCTCCCCTCCCCTCCCGTCTCCTCCCCTCCCAGGAGTGCAAACAGCCTAGAGTGCCCGCGACATTGTACCCCTGGGAGACTCTTCCATCTCTGGGACGACCCTGGATGCAGCCCGCATGGAGCCGGCCCTCAGCTGGCAGGGATGCCACCTCGTGTAGGCGTCCACGGCTCTAGCCCGGGGGGCCAGAAGCGCCCGCCCGGGCGGATCCCAGAATCAACTCGCCAGTGCGCGCCCGGAACCAACAAGACGGGGCCTCGAGGATCGCCTGACCCCTCTCAACATCTGGCAAAGTCCAGACTAGAGAAGCCACCTCCTTGGGTGATAAAAGAACAAGTGAACGCCCAGAGGAATTCCGGTGCAAACCACGGAGCCGGGTTTCAGCGCAGCGGCCCCGACCCGGGCGCACTGGGGTGCCCACCTCTGTTAGGGCACAGACCTCTCTCCTGCCTTCTACTAATTTCTCTCTGCGCCCTGGTGCTTGAGTATCTTATCAAAACTATAGTGATCTCTGTCTCCCCCCTTACATACTTTTTCTAGTGTTTAATTTTACACACTGCTAGGGACGCATGCATTTTTTTACAGGCTTGTACATTACACATAGGCAATTGTACAAAGCACACAGGCTCGGATTTAACTCAGTGGCCAAGGTCAGGATGAAGGATATATTTATAATCAAAGTACAGACTCTGAAGATGATCAGTTAAATATGTTGTATCCAGATGTTCACTCTACCACTGGAAAGGAGAATTGATCTAGGGAAATANATCATGTCAATAGCACGCCTCTTCTAACTTCTAGGCCTTATAAGACAATTTCCCCAGGATCTGTTTTTCAACCTGCCTGCTACCTAGAAGATATTTTCTAAGTGGGCTAACCATCTTAATTCAATCTTATGTATTTGGAGACTAGCCTATTATCTCAGAGATAATATCAAATGCAGAGACTCACAAATTATAAGCCCCAGAGTTAGTTTCAGAATCTCTGAATGTCTCAAAATAAATTTGCTATATGCAGTCAAGAGACTGGGTAAATTCAGGACATATTTGTTCACGAATATGCTTGCTCCTCATTTGCAGAATATAGAGATATAGAGAAATTATTATCTGGCTTAGCTAGCTCCATATGCAGGGGTCTATCTATATGTAGTAAAAACAGAAGAATTTGGCAGTGTTCCTGCTTTCTACTAGATACAATTCTAACGAGAGGAATAAAAAAAGAAAGTCTTGTTTGGATTAGTAGTACTTTCAATTGAGCCCAGTATCTGAAGTGTTGACAAAAGCACTGTTGGGCTGCTTCCCAACCAAACATATCTGAGGGGCTGAAGAGAAAGTATTAATGGGGAAGTAGAATGAGCCACAAAAAAGTAATGGGAATTCTAAGTTCAGACAGGTCCTTAGTCAAGCAGCCACACTAAACTTCCCTTTGCAGAGTGTATGTGAGTATGATTGTGCTTCTCTGTCCGGTGGAATAGGCTCACTCACTGGCTGGCAAAACCCCCTACCCTTCCGCTTTTGAAATTCCATCTGGGCAAAGTCACTTACCTTCTGGGAACACTACTCTCATTTTGAGATAGCTGGTCGTGAGTCTGATTATGGATGCTTTGTCCAGCTGCGAGGTGATAGCCGAGGGCAAAGGCAGTAATTTAGCCAGTTCATAAAATTCACTGTTTTCCTTCTCCCTCCTAGTCCGGGCAGCATTTTTGGACTTCTCTTTCATTGTGTCTCGATCCCCCTTTCTTCTTACAACATAAGCTCCACAGATTCATCCAAAACCAAAAATAAACTTTCAATTAGAGGTCATTTTGGCAAAAAAATAATAATAAAATAAAATAAAGCATACGTTGAATGAAGAGACTGGTATCTTTCCTTCAGTGTATCACTGATAGTGGTAAAAGAACAACGCGGCTAACAATATTTTTCTTTAACGATACGGGATGCGAACATAGGAAAGTCGCTGATCCAGGGCAATCTGGTCAATCTCAGGAGTTTCTGTGTATCAAATGCAGGCGGGACCCCTGAAGAGCCAGCCTTTCCTTCTGTTCCGCGCTGCGAACCCGGGTCCTAGGAAAATCAACATAATAATCCCCGACGTCTGCTCTTCAGTCCCGTGGTACTGGAGGCGGCTCCGAGCCCCTTTGGGGAGAACAGGAAAGCCGGGCGTCTCTTTCAGGCCACTGTGAAGACAACAGCATCAGAGCGTAAGAGATCTGTGGCTCCACAATCACTCATGCCCTCGCCCCGAATTTCGGAAAGGGCCTCAGCGTGCCTCAGCTTTCATCGGTGATTTTGTTTGTTTTTTAAAATATGGAGAAATTAGCAGAGAGACTGAACTCCCTTGCAAATAATGCCACATTCTCCAGCCCCCTGGGAAGATGCCCAAACAACAAAACGCCTATTTCTGAAGACCCTTAGGAGACCCCCAGCCGCCGGTGCCCGTGCCCGCGCCCCCGGGCCAGGCGCAAGTCCCAGGAAAACAGGTTTCCGCAAATCCGAATTCCTCCACAGCGCTGCGGTCGCCTTTCAGTAACCCAACTGGGGCAGGTCTGGAACTTGGCTACCTCTCTAACTTGGTCTCAAGTCTCAAGGATTCCTCAAAAAGTGGCACTTACACATGAAGTCCCTCGGGACTGCCGAGGCGACCCAGCGCTCTCCCTGCCCAGCAGGGGCGACAACACGCCGGGCACTGCAGCGCCAGGTTAACAGGTGGCACATTCACGACAGCCCCTGGCACGCACCAGGGGGTAGGAGGCGGTCCGGCCTCTCTCCCTCAGCGGTAATGCTGCGGGAGCAGTTGGGAGGGCGCAGGGTGTCTTCCGCTTCACCTACCTTTAGTCCTCGATGGCGGCAAAAGGTGTGGAGGCGCCTGTCTCTTAATTGTACTCATGTCTACGGTCCAACTAAACTCCTCGGCCGGCCTCTCTGCTTCCCACCGGCAGAGAGGAGCAGTGCGCGCCCTGGCTCCCTTTTCTCTCCCCTGGTCATAAATTGGGGGAGGGGTGCGTGGCAGAAGGAAGGGAATGCAGGCTTTGGGACGGGTGAGGTGGTTTTAGAATCCTCCTCCTCGGTAGTTGCTACAAAGCCAGCATATTCCTAATTGGAAGCCGAAAACGCCCCCCTGTAACTTCTTTATACCTTACGCGGTTTAGCTTCAACTTCACTCCCGGGCTCTCTCTCTCCCGCCCTCCCTTAATGTCACTCACAAACCTCCTCGCCTCCGATTGGTCCGGCGA